TGACCTGAAGTCATGTGACCTTGCTGTAGTTCCTTTATAGCCCAACATTAGCCACCTTTAGCTTAACGGTGGTGACGTGAAGTCATGTGACCGTGCTGTAGTTCCTTTATAGCCCAACATTAGCCACCTTTAGCTTAGCGGTGGTGACGTGAAGTCATGTGACCGTGCTGTAGTTCCTTTATAGCCCAACATTAGCCACCTTTAGCTTAGCGGTGGTGACCTGAAGTCATGTAACCTTGCTGTAGTTCCTTTATAGCCCAACATTAGCCACCTTTAGCTTAACGGTGGTGACGTGAAGTCATGTGACCGTGCTGTAGTTCCTTTATAGCCCAACATTAGCCACCTTTAGCTTAGCGGTGGTGACGTGAAGTCATGTGACCGTGCTGTAGTTCCTTTATAGCCCAACATTAGCCACCTTTAGCTTAGCGGTGATGTTAATATGTCGAAGTTATCCCACTAAACAAAACGTGTAAGTATCCAAAACTGTAAAATCCCATTGGCTTTTTGTGGAGGGAGTTCTTTTGACGCTAACTAAGAAAATAGGTAATCCCTGCACCACTCCATAAGAGTAGTTTCTTGATTCTCTAGTATATCGTTGTAAAGTACAATAGTTTGTGTTTGTTGGTCTGTACTTTAGGTCAGTACATCCTTAAACTCATCTCAATATCAACCAAGAGTAGCTCCTATCTTTAGATCATGTCAGTAGAAAGATCGTCTTTGTCCAAACCAGTACTGATCCAGTAGATCCTGTAGTCAGAAACAATGGTATATCTTAGAAATAGAAACAACATTAAAGACCTGTTCTGTCCCCGCATCTTTGGACACAGTTCGGACTCTTTTCCTTCATGGATCCAACGGACTGCTTTGTCTTCGATTGACTGTCTTGTGATTGTTATTGTTTATTGATTATTCCCAGGCTACCATCATGTCCGGTTCCACGCTCAGTCTGAACCACGACCCGACCCCTCTACGCAGCACTCTGGGACGCCAGGCCAGCTTCCAGGAGCGAAGCAACTCCAAGCCATCGGTAACCAGAACCAACCTCTGAACTCCAACTAACTCTTACATTTATATCATATATTTAAAGTTCTTTTAGGTATTTATTTCTGTATCTTTTCTCAGGTAAACTCTCGGTCCAACACCTTGCCCTCTGACCCCACGCGCCGAGCCTTCGCCATGAGGAAGATGAGGCAGGAAGTCAACGAGATCCTAAACCAGAACCCTGTGGAGCTCCACAAGGTGACGATTGAACCTTTGAGCAAAGCAACTTATCCCTATAAACAGATATCAATATGTTTGTAAAGGAAGCATTCTGGTGTCCGTTTATTGTCCAAGTAGTGTTGACTAATTGTGTTTGGCATGGTATATTGTTCGTGTTTAGAGCGAAAGAGACAGACGGATCCTCCGAACTTGAATCTAAAACCCATAGGCTACAGTAGGTGTTTCTGTCTTTAAAAACGATTCTATTGTTGCCTACCAAGTTGCTAATCAGACTGTAAACCAGTGGTATGAACTAAAGTCAGACTCAATCACACATTTAATAAATTTAGATTTGAATTTACCAAAAAAGACACCAACTCGCGACTTCACTTGGACTTGAGCCTTTTGACTTGAAAATACTTGAAACCAAACCCAAAGGTTAAAAGTATGTTATTTAAAAGTTTGTCACAATGTCATTCATTTCCTGAATACCCCAATGTTCAGGCCATTCATTCCCAGCAGGTCAACCCTTTATTCCCAAGATCGACTTTGTTGGGTGTGCAATCCAGTTGCTAGAGAGAACCAAGGAGAACAATGATTACGTAAATGTAATTCTTCTGATTCTAATATACTATAAGAAAAGAGCATTAAAATGACAAAACAACTAATTGTAGTTTGCAAAGAAAGAGTAGATTATTACTTATTAAGGACTAGTAACTTAAAGTCCAACTTGTGACTCGTTAAACATTAACTTGGTCCCAACTCGACATTGACTGGTTCAGGAAGGCAGAAGTCCTCGCTCGGACCTTCGTTATCTATTTGGTACACCGGAGAACCCTCAGCTGGGTTCTGTGATCACAAAGTGTCTGGACATCAATCTCCTCGCCGTGATCCTAACAGAGTTTGTGTTTTCTGTTTACAGCTGACTCTAGAAAAAGCCACAGATCTGGAAGATTTTGGGTTCAGTGTTTCTGACGGCATGTTGGACCGCGGCGTCTACGTGAACAACATCCGACCGGGAGGACCAGCAGAGTGCGGCGGCCTCCGAGCTTACGATCGGATACTACAGGTACAAAGACAATGAAAAAAGGAAAATTCTGACTTTTCTCAAAATTCTGACTTTTTCTCAAAATTCTGACTTTTTCTCAAAATTCTGACTTTTTCTCAAAAAAAATTACTTTTTCTCTAAAATCTAAAAATCCTGACTTTTCTTCAAAAATAATGACTTTTTCTCAAAGATCTCAAAATTCTGACTTTTTCTCAAAAATCTCAAAATCCTGATTTTTTTCTCAACAATCTCAAAATCCTGAATTTTTCAAAAAAAATTGACCTTTTATAAAAAATCTCAAAATCCTGACTTTTTCTCAAAAATCTGACTTTTTCCTGATGCTCTTCTAGGTAATCATACATGTGTATATGTACACAGCTACAGTCGGGATACCTTTGTTATCATGTTGCTCTCATGTTGGAAGAGGACATTCAGAGCTTTCCAAACACCCCTTAACATCTGTGAGACTGTTCTGAACCTTTCTATGTTTTCCAGATTAACCACGTTCGGACTCGGGACTTCGACTGCTGCCTCGTGGTTCCTCTGATCGCAGAGTCTCCGAACCATCTGGAGCTCGTCATCAGCCGAAACCCGACTTCCTCATCCACCACGCTGTTGACCAATCACACTGACGGCATCAACAACAGCGGCCACTCCCCTCAGCCAATCGGCAGCGACCTCGGACCTTTCGAGCTCTCCATTGGCCAGTTGGAGGACGGCGGTCCAATCAAGTGGAGCCAACCGGGGGACATGTTGGTGGCGGGGCTCGGGATGGGTCAGGTCAATAATAATTCCGTATAGCAGACAAACAATGGATTAAATTAACCAGATTGGACTGGAGAGTTCAACAAAACAGCAAAATGACTGGTTTTGACCCGTCCAAACTGGTTTAGAGTACCCTATGGTGCTACAAACACCCTCTGGATGACCTTTGAACTGTTGAGGCGGCCTGAAAGCACACTGATGGACCGGAGCAACTCCTCACCTTTTCACAAGAACCAGTTCTGCATACTGGTTCTTTATTACTGGAGTCACTGGAGCCAGAACTATAACTACTGATCCTACTGGAACCACTATGAGAGAGCTACTGGTCTGACTGGTCCGACATTAATGGGTACTCGAGTCATGGATACTGATTCTATTAAAGCCAATGGTTTTACTGGTTTTAGATTAATGGTTACTGGTCCAACTGAAGCCAGAGCCACAGCCAATTAATGGTCCTACTGGCCAAGACACATCGGCTCTGGTCTTATGGTGAGTTCACACCAAATGCAGAGCTGATGAACATTGGGTAAACTGGCAAAAAATGGGAAGGCAATTGGTTTTAACTCGGCATAAGTGTGAACAAAACCAATCTGAAGCCAAAATGATTGGTCTTTTTTGTGTAGAAGACTCAGGTTCTGGTCTGAGTGGTGAAAGCATCACGAGTTCTGGCGCAACTGGTCCAAGACATGGTTTTTATGGTCAAAGAATCATGTGTACCAAGCAAGATCCATGATACTGTGTTTACAAGTCAAGAACTGGGTCTTCTGGGCCATCTGGTCTTACTAGAATCAGAACCATGGCTCTAATGGTTGTACTGGCCAAGGACCACAGCAGCACAAAGACTGATGGGAACCAGAACCTGCTGATGGACACACGGGTTGCCATGTAGACGAGGGACGCTCCGATCTAGAGCCATGTCATTGGGATAATCCAAACCGTACTGATTACTGACTGGTTTCTGGTCTTAAAGGTTCATTTATGTCAACTTTATAGGTATACATATCTATATTTGGCTCAGTGTGTTGGGTTTAGGCGCACAATTAAAACTAGTGATGGTTAAATACAAGTCTGAAAATGGACAAATGCAAATATAATATTGAAAATGTTGGTTTAAAGATAAGGACTAAGGACTTGGATGGTGTTAGGTGGGGTTTAGGTGTAGTTCAGTTTGTTCTAATAGAAAAAATACCCATTAGCTTTTAGCATGCCGCACAGATATAGCACCATTCAGTCCTTAAGTAATATTAACAAAAAATTCCCTACATTCCTTAGATTTTCAAAAAAAGGGATACATGAAAATATGAAAGGACTGAAGCTGCCATCATAATAATGTCTTAATTATTAAATAAATTAAATTATAAAGGAACGGGGAAAAAAAGTAAATGTGTTAGTTCGTCCAATTATTTATTGCATTGGCAGCTTTAGTACCTCATGGACCTTCATACGATATTGATTTTGGCCAAATTAAGACTCAATCATGTTTTTTGCCTTAATTATGGACGTATTTAAAAAAGCCCTAGTGGTCAAACAGATAATGATAGCACACTTCAATGTTTTTTTTATTATTATTCTATTTTAAGACTAGAATCCAGTCAGTAATGATCAGGTGTTTTATATCGGGGCGTCCCTGATGAAATGTACAGAAAGACACTTAAGATTTTAGTTCTGTGCCATGAGCTGCAGACAGTAATAATAATAATCCTGAATAATGACACTGAGCAGATCAATAAGAAACCTTTTCTACTGTTTACACCTGTTGGACTGGCCACACTGTGTGTATGTATGTGTGTGTGTGTTTGTATGTGTGTGTGTGTGTGTGTGTGTGTGTGTGTGTGTGTGTGTGTGTGTGTGTGTGTGTGTGTGTGTGTGTGTGTGTGTGTGTGTGTGTGCATACGTGTGTGTGTGTGTGTTTGTATGTCATACGTGTGTGTGTGTGTGTGTGTGTGTGTGTGTGTGTGTGTGTGTGTGTGTGTGTGTGTGTGTGTGTTTGTATGTCATACGTGTGTGTGTGTGTGTGTGTGTGTGTGTGTGTGTGTGTGTGTGTGTGTGTGTGTGTGTTGTGTGTGTGTGTTTGTATGTCATGTGTGTGTGTGTGTGTGTGTGTGTGTGTGTGTGTGTGTGTGTGTGTGTGTGTGTGATATGGATCGTTGGAGCTATGTGCAACTCAAGGCATATGCTCGAACGGGAGCTGCCTGGACGCTGCAATCATGTTGCGCGCACTATCCGTGCTGAGTGTGCTGACTTTTCCCACAATGTCCCGCTGTCTGGCTACCTGCATAAAGTCAAGTGCTCGGCGCATTTGTCGGCGAAATGTCACTACTCTGTTTTCATTTAAACAGCTCCTTATATCCGTTAGCGCAGCTAGCTAGCACCAGATGCTAACAACAACAACAATACACGTAAGGTCTCTCTCTCGCGC